ATTTCCCCATTCTGCTACAATAAATAAACAAACAAAAAGAATTCTCACTTCCAGAAGATCCCGCCTGTGCCTCTGCACGAGCCTTTCAGGAGGTCTGGATGTCTGGTCCGCCGCTCCCCGGCTTCTTTCCAGGCTTTTGCTTTTCCCTTCCCCCGCTCCCGCCCTACAGCCCCAGGACCAGACCACCGCCCAGCTGAGTCCCCGCGGCTCCACCGCGCAGAAGGTGCACCGGAGGCCCTGCCAGTTGCCCGGCCCGCTGGGGTGCCGAGAAATCAACGCTTTGTAAACAGAACTTCCCCATTGAAAAAATCTCTTGATTTCCACTCTTAGGGCTCTTCAAAGGACTAAAAGCCAAAGGCGACGATGGATTCATTCGGCAAGTCCTAGTCGGGCGCCCCGGTGAGTGCCAGACCCTGCTCCCTGCGAGGGGACCCACGAGCGACCCTTGCCACCATCCCTGCCCTGGTGGAGCCCCCGTGCGGGACACAGGATCCGAAGATGGCAGCGGCAGCTCCGCAGCGGCCCCGAAAGCGACTGGGCGGGGTGGGTACAGGCTCCCTCACTGGGTGAAGGCGGCGCAGAGAACGGGAAGAGCCATCCCGGGAGCCCACTGGGCGCTCAGCTTCCCTTGGGACCCCAGGCGGCTCGGGCTGGGTCGCCGACCGGGGAGTTTCTGGGGGCTTCTGAAGAAGGAGAGGGGCAGGGCAGGCGAAGGCCATTCGGCTCTCCGTCTGGCTCCAAAATCTCCTAACGCTCAGGTGTCCAACGTGACCAGTGCGACTCACCGCTCTAATCTCTCTGGTTTTCAAGGCCTTGCTCAGTCGTCTTGCCGGGCGGGCCCTGAGAATAGAAGAAAAGGAGGAAGTTTCATGAGTGCGCCCTTCCTGTATCGCCTAGTAAGTTCGGAAGCACTTGTCTCTGTGGCGCAATCGGTTAGCGCGTTCGGCTGTTAACCGAAAGGTTGGTGGTTCGAGCCCACCCAGGGACGCTTACTGCAACTTTTAAAGCATTCGCGCATTGTCAATCAGTAGACATACGGGGAAGATTTTATCTTCCCGGAGTACCAAACCACTAATTTATGACTGATCCGTGTCAAGGACCAGCCCACCTCCCGGACCAGATTCTTAACAGGGTATCTCCTGAAATGGCAGGGAAGAATCCTGAAACAGAGACCTAGGAACCCACTTGTGGTGTGATAAAATTCTAATGCAGTCCGTCATACGCTTAAACAAGTAATTTACGTGCCTCCATTTTTTCATATTTTAGTAACAGGAGTCCAGTAGTATCCCCAGGATGTGCCTGGACTTACTGATTGTTCTATCAATAATGTGACCAGTGGAATCAGTCATCATTATAGTGATCCTCTCCATCATTTTTGAAAACAGTGTTTTTCCCCAGTTTGTGCATGATTTATTTAACCCTTTTCAAAATGTTTTTGTTAGCCAGGCATGGTGGCATGTGCCTGTACTCTCAGCTACTCGGGAGGCTGAGGCAGGAGAATTGTTTGAACTTGGAAGGTGGAGGCTGCAGTGAGCTGAGATCGCTACACACCAGCCTGAGCAACAGAGTGTGATTCCTTCTCAAAACAAAACAAAAAAAAATGTTTTTGAGATGAGGTTGGTTTCATGGTTTTAGAATTACAAAGAATGCTGCAGCCACCATTCTTGTACACATATCTTTGGTCATTGTGGAAATGTCTACACCGCAGATATTTCTATAGTGTAGAGAACTGGATGCGCCGTTGCTACATTATAGTGTTTATATGACGCTTCTAATTTGAGTACATTCTGCAAATGTATCTTTCACGGGAGCAATACCTAATAATATTCCAATATGAATATTTACAAGAGGAAAAATGTGCAGATGTGCAACTGAGTTTCATGCCTCTCCATGGGGCCCATGTTCATAAAATGGTGGCATTAGCTATCTGAGAGTGGAGTTTGTGGCCCTCTGACGTCAAAAGCTGAAGCAAAGGACATGAAAACCCTCACTGTACATCCTCTGTAGTCTGGCCAGAATCATTCCTAGGTCAGTAGTCTCTTATTAGGAGGGAATGCTGCTTGCTTGCTTTGTCAAAACCACAAAAGGAAGGGAAAGTGTCAGGCTGCTGGTTGATAACAGTAGTGAAGCAAGTCTTTCAAAAGGGTTGGTTTGTTAACCCTTAGGGAAAAAAATCCTAATTCTTACCAGATGGTGCTGTGCAGTTCCAGGCTCTTGGTGTCCCAAACAAAGAACTGTGCATGACACACACAAAGCAGCAAAGCAAAGCAAAAGTTTATTAAGCACAGTAACACTCTCAGAGTGGGGAGAGTGGGCTAACCTCTGCGAGATGAGATCAGTATTAGTTTGGTGTACTTTGGGTCTTTTCATGTGTGGTTTTTATTCTTCTCTTCACAAGGATGCCTACTCTTTAGCCAGTGTTTGCCTTTAGATTGATAGATGGGTTGCTTAGTTACTTTGGCCCTTGTGTGCTTGCACATTGCCTCCATCCCATAATTTTAAGTACATGCATGATATGTAGTCCATATACATGAGTTTTAATGAGCTGATTATCATATGGAGTCAGGTTAAGGATACTTTTTTTCTCGAATGCACGTGTCTATCTCTGAGGAGTTGCCCCTTTACTGCTTTGGATCTTGCCAGCAATGGGGATCCTTGCTGGGGTTTTTTGTTTTGTTTTGTTTTTTTGGCTTTTTTTTTGAGACAGAGTCTCTCTCTGTTGCCCAGTCTGGAGTGCAGTAGTGCAATCTCGGCTCGCTGCAACCTCCGCCTCCCAGGTTCAAGCAATGCTCCTGTCTCAGCCTCCTGAGTAGCTGGGAGTACAGGAGTGCACCACCACGCACAGCTAACTTTTTGTATTTTTGGTAGAGACCAGGTATCTCCATGTTGGCCAGAGTGGTCTCAAACTTCTGACCTCAGGCGATCTGCCCGCCTTGGCCTCCCGAAATGCTGGGATTACAGGCGTGAGCCACCGCGCCCAGGCTTGCTTGCTTTTTTTAATCTTACTTTTTGTTTTGGCTGCTCCACTTCTGCCTTTTATCCTGCTTCTTGCTCTCCCACCCCATCACCTTGCTTCTGTTTCTGCTTTTACTCATTCTGCCTTTTATCCAACTTCCAATTCCCTCTGCTGTTCTGCCTATAATGGCAGTTAGTGAGGGAGGGGTTTTAAGGGGGCATGTCCGACCTCCTATCCTGTCACAGCCAGAAACAGCTTTCAAGGCTTCTCTGAGGTCCTGTCAGCCACGAGGGAGTCCATTCAGTTCGTTGTAGGGCCTAGGGCTTATTTTTATTTCTCAATCCTGACAAGCGAAGGCTGGATTAATACAGATTTTCTGCAGGTGTAAATTTCCCCTATAAAAGACAGTTTTGCAGAGTTACTTCTGCTTGCTGGCTCTCTGACAGCATTCTTAAAATATGCCAAAGAAATATATTCTGGAGTAAAATATTTTGATTTTTTCATCTGTCTACAGCTTCACCATGCTGACAGCCTCCAGTCCAAGCATACCTGAAGCCTTTCTTTTTAAAAAGCTTTCCTACCCTTCTGACTGCCTTCAAGTCTCTACCAAAACACAAGTAACAGTGGCTGACTCCCTCCTATAGCAAGCTCAGAATAAATAGCTTTTGCTTTTTTTCATTTGGTTGGTCTTCATTTATTTGCAGAAGCTTCAATGTAGAGTTGACAAGGACTCCATCTTTGATCAAACCTTAGTGCTTTCCTTTGAGCCCTTTTCTCTATTGGTTTCTGAAAGTCCAGTTTCAGAAAATAATACTGTTGAGTCTAGCTTAGCAAAAGTCCTCCCAACCACCTTTGATAGCTAATCAAGTTCCTCTTAGTAATTTTTCATCCACTGACTTTCTTATCTTGCAATTGGCTATAATCTTCAACTCTTCCTGCTGTATTTGAGGTTGAGCTCAGTTCTCTGCTGGTCTCTCTTGCCTACTGTAGTACATAAAATCCATCTCATGTTTTTAACAAGTGTCCAGGGTAGTCCCTCTGAAACTATTTTTGCAAAATTCTGACAATAAGAGAATGCTGACACGGCTGACTCCATCTTGGTTCTAGCCTCACAGACTAGCTGTCTTTGCTCATTCCTGTGCAATTTCTCCCAAGCTCTCTTTGGGAAAAATTGAGTTTATAGTTTAAATAAGAGGTCCCCAATGCCCAGGGTCACAAGACAGGTACTGGTCCATGGCCTGTTAGGAACCCAGCCGAGCAGCAGGAAGTGAGCTGCAGGCTTTCAAGCATTAACCCCTGAGCTCCGCCTCTTGTCAGATCAGCATCGGCATTAGATTCTCATGGGAGCTCAGACCCTATTGGGAACTGAGCATGTGAGGGATCCAGATTGCGCACTCCTTATGAGACTCTAACTAATGCCTGATGACCTGAGGTGGAACAGTTTCATCCAGAAACCATCCACTACCCCCTTCCATGGAAAAATTGTCTTCCGTGAAACCAGTCCCTGGTGCCAAAAAGGTTGAGGACAGCCAAAAAGATTTGTTTAAATGATAACCTTCTCCAAAACTATGTTACCCCTGTAAAACTAATGAAAGGCCACCAAGTTAGAAGGATGAAAGGGGCCTGAATTCTACTAAGATGTATGCCTCATTAAATAATTACCAGTCATTATTCCAGAGGTCACAAGATTTGCAGCTTCCCCAATTACTGCTGT